GGACCCCGTGGTGGTGCTGACCCCACGGGCCTGGGGCAGGGCTGGAGGCACCTGGGTGAGGGGCATTTCCTAATTGTCACGGAAACCCGGGGTGGGCCCACTGGGGCTGCTGCTCAGGAGGCCGTGGGGACAGTGGGGACTGCCTGAGTCTGAGGCCCTGGACTTGGAAGTGGACCCCTGGGATGAGCCCCCGAGAAGGGGAGGGAAAGTGACTCAGGCTGCCACGCTTGCTGGGAGCAAGGACCTGGGCTGAGAGGCTTACGTGTGTTATCTCATTTAATCTTAACAATGACTACTGCCCCCATTCTACAGTTGGGGAGACTGAGGTTCAGAGAGGGAGAGTTTCCTGCTCAGGGTCACACAGCGAGTCCACAGCAGAGCCAGGATTTGAACCCAGATCTATTACCTGCAGAAGCCTGGCTCTTAGTTCCCCCCACAAGGTCTCCCTGAAAAGGAAGGTGACAGTGGCAGTGGGCGGGGGGGGGGGGGGTCTCTGTTTTGGCTTCTTGCCAGGGTGTAGAGCGATGGCTCTAGGAAGCAACGTTCTCTGTCCTGGCGGGCCATCTGCAGACAGCACAGTCATGAGATGTGCACCTGTTATGTGCCAGGGGCTCCCTGGTCTGGGGTGGAGGGACCCCCAGGGAAGCAGGCCCGGGAGCCACCACATAGCCCTGCCTGGTGGAGCCCTGGGTTGGATTGGATAATGCAGGGGAGGCCGCTGCCAGATAGCAGGAGGGGTCGGCACACTGAGTGCTGCACCGGAGCTGGGTTTGAAGTGCGTGAAAATCAGGCTGCTGCCTGGAAAAATAGTAAATCAGTGCCGACAAGTGGGTTGCACTGCCCTGGAACCCTGTGTCCAGGCCCCGAGTCCCTCAGCACAGCATGGGAAGAGGTGAAGCTGGATGAGTTCCCCCCCTCCCCCCAGAACCCGGAGACCTGGCACCTCCTCCCAAGGGGTCCTCTCGTTGGCTCCTGGGTTGTTGTCCTATAAATCGGGCCTGCTGCCCGCCGTGCAGGGTCTTCCAGTGTCCCCGTCCGACTGCTCCTGGGTCCCAGCTGGCGTGCACCTGTGTCCGCCACCTTCATGCCATGACCCCGGAGCATTGGGTCTGCCCCCTTCCCGACCACGTGTCCTGTCCCCACGCAGCCGTATGCACAGCTACGCACGCGGGCACTTTTCAGAGGCCATGGTTTTACAGCAGATTCTCAAAGAAGTCTCGCGGACTAGGACCAGAGGCTGGTTTATTGATCCCAGAGCTGCGTTCAGGCTGCGCCTTCTCCCTGAAGCAGTGACAATGGCAGCCCCCAAGCCCAGCTCAGAGCAGGTGTCCAGGAACCACCCAATGGGTGGGGGACGGAGAGCAAGGCGTGGTTTGGCGTAAGAATTGTGACCCCCTCTGCTCTTTGTTCGGGGGGTTGGGCTCAGCCACTCCCTTAGGGTGCCGTGTTTTGGGGCCTTCTTCCTCTAGCGGGGGACCTCCCTAGCCTCTGGCACTGGCGCTGTCATTGTCCTGCCCACACACGGCCATGCCGGCCAAGCAGCCGGATGCTCACGTTGACCTCAGGGTGGGAGGCGTAATTTGGTGGGACCTTGAAGCAGTGGCTTGAGCCTCTCATCCCTGCCCCGCGCCCCCCCCCCCCCCCAGGAGGATGGGGTGCTAGGGTGGATTTGACACAGCCTGACGCATGGACTCTGTTGGGGATTTCTTGGCACGTGGCAGCTTTTCTGCTTCCGTCTTGGGCATCCCTTTAATTCTCTCAGTGGTGCGAGTGGGAAACTTGGCTTCCCAGAAGCGGAGCACGAGGAAATGCGTCCTCAGGAAGGGTCTGATGGGATAAGAGGAACCCAGCCCCGCCCTGACCCCCGGCCCCCCCGCCCTGAGGACCCGGATGGCCGCACTCTGGTGTCTGGCCCACGGGCCTTTCTGTGCCGTTCTGCATACTTGATTCTCATCCCCTCCTCTTCAAGAACAAATGAACTCCACCACGAACGTCTGGATCTCTGGTCTAGCCGGGGAGGGGGACATTGATGGCGGGGGTGGCAGATGCTGCACGGTGGGGTCTGGATGATCAGCGGGTGCCTGAGACAGGAGGGTGGAGCCAGGCCTTGTTGCAAGTGGCCCGAGAGTCACACCTGCTCCAGCCCCTCTCGGGCTTGAAGTTATAGCTGGAATGTGGCCCCAGAAACGCCCTCTGTGCAAATGCGTCTCCTCGGGGTTAAGTCAGGGTCAGTGTTGTAAAGTCACAGCTCAGGGCTGACTTGGGTACCTCTGCGTGGATTCTCATAAGCGCTTCTTGAAAATGCTTCCTTGTATCTAATTGGAGGCTGCCACTTGTTGTTTTGGAATATCTTGAGAATAGCATGAGAATATCTGGTAAGATCCATTTATCTGTGCACCCATCCATTCCCCAACAAATCCACCCTCCCTGAACCTGTCCTCCTGGCCACCCATCCATCCTTCCACCCCCATGCCCCCACCCACTCACTCATTCATCTGTCCATCAACCCACAAATCCCATCCCTCTCCCACTCACCTGTTCTCCCACCCACCCATCCATCCATCTATCCATCCGTCTGTCCATCTGTCCATCCATCTATCCAACCATTCATCCACCCACCCACCTATCTGTCTATCCATCCGTCCATCCATCCATCCATTCCATTCATCCATCCGTCCGTCCATCCATGCCTTTCTAATGTCAGGCACCGTGCTAGGCGGAAGTGGACCCAGGGTGAGAGAGTGGTCAAGCTGGTGGAAAGCTGGTCAGGGAGTGGTTTTGGGGGAACGCTCCACTTCTGGGTCCTGCAGTCACGTCTCAGCCTGGCCTGAGATTTCCTGTGATCAGTAGGGTGGGGGCCGGAACCTTCGGCAGTTGGGGTGACTGACGTTCGACTGACTTTGAAGAAACCAGAGCTCGGTTCCAGCACCCCGTCAACCACGTGGGATCTGGGTCGGCTTCCGGTTCTCCTGTATCGTGGGAGTGCTTTCCTGGCTGGAACCATGGCTGGGTCAGTGAGGGTCCCTCGTCTGCTGAGGGCCAGGGCGTCCTGATGGCCTGCAGCTCTCCCTGTGACCCGAAGACACACATCTGTCCTCCTTCCTTCTTGCCACATGATGCCCAGTGGGGGATGCCATTGTCATGGTGATACGAGGAAGCGGGGGAGAGCCACAGGGAGGAGGGGGAGCCCACCACAGAGAGGTCAGGCTGGGCTATGCCACGAGCTACCGCCATGAAGCCGCAGGTGATGGGGACCCCTGGTCTGGTGGGTCTGCCTTGGGACCTCAGACCCAGGGCCATGCAACTCTGTGACAGAGCTGGGCAGGACCCAGGCCTCCAGCTGCTGGCTCAGTGGGCTCCCCAGGCCCCCACCCCATGGAGCACAGTCCCCGAGCCTTGGTAGTGGAAGCTGCAGGGTCCAGGCATCCATCCCCACTGGACTGCCCTGCTGAGCACATCAGCCTGACCCCCAGCAAGGAGGCTGCCAGCCGGGTCTCCTGTGAGATCGTTAGTAACAGACTTCCTACCAGAACCCGTGCCCTGGGAGATGGGGAGATGAGATGGGGAGATGCTCGTTTCAACCAAAGGGGCGATTTTGTCTCCATGGAGGTGGTTAATTTGGGCCCATTGCTTTCGAACGAGCTGGCAGCTCCCTCCTCCTGGCAGCATTCACCCCCCTCCGGCCCCGTCCTCCTGGAGGCTGGCCTCTGTGCCCGGCGTGGGCTGCTTCAACCTAGTCGGGACCATGCACCCGTCTGCAGGTCCCTGCGGCAGAGGCAGAAGTGGGCGCTTGCACGTGGGTGTGCAGGGCACCCCGGGGAGCCCCGGAGAGTGTGTCGGAAGCCCATTTCCTTGAAGGGCTGCTGCATGGGCTCCCTGTGCTGGTGGTGGGCGTGGGGGGGCCAGGTGTGGGTATGGTGCCGACAGCGTGCCCTTCCCATTTCCACCCCAATCGCTTCTTTACCCAGAATGCGCTGTTCCGTTTGCGGACCTGCCCGTTTCCTCCAGTTTGTGAACTGGAATCTCATATCAGTCTCCAGATGAGATCCCAGTTCGGGGTGACAGAGCCGGTGGGCTCACCCACCCTCCCCGCGAGCACGTGCCGCGTGCAGGCGGGGCTGGGGCCGGTGCCGCGCCTGCATTCCTTCCCGTGAGCCCGGCTGCGCCCAGGGCTGTGTCACCTGCATCTCACGCCCTAACACTCCTCACCTGTACTGGCTGGCCCCCAGCACCTGGGCAGCGTGGGCTGGCTCCACCCCCTTTCCCAGGAGTCAGGCCCAGGTTCACTTTGCAGTAGTGACGGCTGCGGCCCGAGACCCCGCGTTTCCAGGGAGCCCCATTTTCCTCCTCGTGAGTTCCCCTCCCACGGATTCTGAGCTGCCGAGGTAGACGCCTGTCTGCAGGTGACGACCCTGCCACGCCGCCCTCCTCACACCAGCGGGAAGCTTTCTGACTCCTGGGCCCTTCTCTTACTCCTCCCAGATGCGTCTTTGGGGTGACAGAGTTTGCGGGGACCCTGGGCATCCCCCCAATACAGAACTGGGAGATTTTCATGGAAAATAAGGGTCTCAAGTCCAGATAAGTTTGGGGCTCACGGCCTACCCTCCCTGTCTCCTAAGGACAGGTTCCCGTGCTCCCCGCTGAGGGTGCCCAGGGGAGCCCACATCCCCGTGTCTGGGGTCCCCCTGGCGTGTGGAAGCAGGATAGTTGCACGGACGGAAGCTTCCTGCTGTCCCTGACCCGGTTCCCTCGTTTGCCAACAGGGATGCCGGGGCCTGGACAGAGGGACCGACTTCCGGTGTCCAGGGCCGAGCTGGGCGGCCCTGCGTCACACAGCCACATAATGTGCACCCCGTTTCCTTCCATGAGGGAGTGGACAGAAGCCCGCCTGCTCCTGCGCTCGCTCCGGGGGGCCCGTGGTGGACCACAGGCTGGGGGCTTGGCCAGGGCGGCGGTGCCACTGAGACCTGCTCACTCCCCTGACGTCTCCTCTCCCACAGGCCCTTCCCCTCGGAGGAGACCGCGGAGAATGACGATGACGTCTACCGCAGCCTGGAGGAACTGGCAGAGTAAGGAGGCAGGCGGGGGAGGGTGGGGAGCGGGGCTTCACGCGGGCCCCCTCGACGGGCGCTGGTCTCGGCCGTCTGCACGGGCCGTCCCCCTGGGGGGGGTGGTGTGGCTCCCCTGCCGGAAGGATGCGCGGTTCTTCACCCCCACATTCCAGGAGGCTCCCAGCGTGTCTGCTGGTGACGTGGCTGCGGCCCTCCTCCCCAGGCTCAGGCGTGACGAGGGCCGGCGTTTGCCGGGCTTCTCTGTCGAAGCTGCAGTGGGGCTGGGGAGGTGTCCTAGCTCGGCCCTTGGAGGCTTGCTGCGGATGGAGAGAGCTGGCGTCTCCGGAAGCTGAGGCCCCTGGAGCACAGCTTACAGGCAAAGGCAGATGGTGACTCCGGGTTGTCTCGTGGCCTGACACGGGCTGGGGCTGGGCCGAGGCCAGGCCACCTGAAGCCACTGGGGCGTCTCCCCTTCTCCCAAGGCCCCGTCTTTGCCTGCCCCGGGTCCCCCCGATTCCCCTCTCCGAGGATTTCTGGCACCATCTCGTGCAGCCTGGGTCCAGCTGCCCCTCCCCGGCCGTTTCTCCTTATGGTCCTGGAGCCCCCCAGGGACTGGCAGGAATCCCCGGGCGGCGGCTCTTCCAGAAGAGATGGTTGGGTTCTGCGCGGTCAGCTGTGGCCGGGGGTGGGGTCATGTGGCCTGCTGCTCGGAGAAGGGGCGGCGGGGTGGAGCTGGCAGGGCCGCCCTATCCTGCAGGGGGGGTGGACCGAGGCCCGGGAGATGACGGGCTTGCCCAGGCCGTGGCGTGGTCCCACGTGGCTCCTGACCTGGCAGGCCCACGACCCTCTTCCCCGGATTCCTGCCCCTGGGGGCCTCTTTCCTGTCTTTGTTCCCGGATAAACGGCCGTTCCTTCTGGGAAGCCTCGTGGCCTCTCTCTCCTTCGTCTTACGGCACAGACTGGGAATGAGAATCATGATCAGAGTAAGAGCCGGGATCTGCTGCGCACTCGCTGTGTCAAAGCCCCCGGCTTGTTCCACGCCCCCGTCCAGGCTGCCTCTAGGACATGGGGCCTGGGCAGACATTCTCTGCAGGATCTCTATCCGTTTAAATAATTTGAGTCATTGAAAAATCAGCCTGTGGGCAGCAAGCTGGCGGCCCAACATTATGTGATCTTTGAGTGAAACACTCACTGGCCAGTGGGCATAGCTGCCACCAGCCCATCTTCCGGAAACTGGGCTGAGCCCAGTGTGAATGGTGGCGATCCTCGGGATACCTGGTCGACCCCATGTGGGTCCGAGGGTGGAGAGCACCCTGAGGGGGCAAATGGGGCCCAGGGTCCACACGAGTCCCAACCAGGGCCTGGGGCTCCCTACCTGGGTGCTACTGCCCAGTCCCAGGAATCAGAGGAGGACCTGGAAAATTTCGAGAAAGGTGCACTCCAACCCACGGGGCCTCCCGAGGTGCAGGGCTGAATGAGTGGCTGCCCACCTTCCCCTACCCCCCGTAAGGGGTGAGGAAACCTTGGCTCAGAGAGGCACGGCCGGAGGGAGGCCCCCAGGGGTCCCCACCCGTCTGCAGCCACCTTGCTGGCTGAGCTGCTGGAACTGCTTCCCGCCCGCCCTCCCGGCATTTTCCGCCTTGGAGAGCCTCTCCCTGTCTGCCGAGTCCGGGCCTAAGTGCCCCCCACTTTGGGAAGCCTGTCACCCTCCGTCCATCCGCCCGCCCAGCCAGCACCCTCAGTCACACCCCACGCATCACAGAGCACCCACACCCCTGTCTGGCCTTCGGGGTGTTTGTGGGGTGCACTGTGATAGACCGGAAGGTTCCCGAGGTCAGTCCCTGCATCTCCATGTCACCGCCCCCCCTCCAGCAGCTGGCACCCCGTGCCCGCGGCCTAACAGCCCATCCCAAGCGATAATGTTCATCTCCTTCTATCCCCCACTCCGCCCCACAGTCTCCTTGTGAGGGGTGTTCTAGGGGCGCCCCCGCTTTACAGATAAGGAAACTGAGGCCTCGGGAGGGAAGCTACGGGCCCACGTCACTCAGCGAGGGAGCGGCAGAGCTACCCTTTTATCCCGAGCCTGTACCCTCACCTCCCCACCATGCAAAGTCAGTGCCCCCCGCAGGGTCCGGGGAGCCCCTTGCCCAGTGCCGAGTGCCGGGCCCTGACCTGCCATTTCTCCCGAGTCACCCCCAAGCTGAGGCTGGGGGGTCTCTGCCCTCCTGAGACACGCATGAGGGGTCAGCAGAGGCTGAGGGTTCCAGGATGATGGGGCCCACGGTGCCCTCGTGCAGCTTCCGCTGTACCAGCCAGGCCCCCCGCTTAGCCCGTCCCAATGGCTCTTTCACGTTCAGTTTGGAGGATTCCTGGGCGGTGAGTTGGCCAGCGACCCCGGGTGCCCATTTTCCCTTTTCTCGGTCTATTCTGCATGTGTCTGACCTCTCACAGGATGGAATTCCTCTCGCATGGAGAAGCCAGTCTGGGGGATGCGCGGCTTTGCACACAGTTCAATAATATTATTCCATGACATTAAGAGTGAGCCTCCTTAATCCAATGAGTTCCTTATGACTGCAGTTACTGCAAACGTAAATCATACATTAATAGGGGAGGGGAATGAATTTGAGTCTTGAAGTTGCGGTTTGGTCCCAGAGGCTCCAGGTTAATAAATTTTTCATGCTTTTTTTCCCCCTTCTCCTTTTACTGAAAATCAAGATTTCTTAGCATCCTGTCTCTGCGGACTTGGGATTCATATTTATCCATTATGGCAATTTACAGGACACAAACAGAAATGTCATTTCTTCCCTGGCCTCCCCGGGGCAGGGAACGGGGCACTGGCCCGGATCTGAAGCCAGGCAGCGCCAGGGAGCCGGGGAGTGACGTGTCCAGCAGAACCGGCTAATTCTTTCCTTTGGGCTCTGGCCAGGTGTCAGAAAGGATGATCACCTCGCGTTTCTAAGGGGCCCCTCGACGCTCCGCAGCTGTTTGGGGAAAGGCGAGCCTGGTGGGGGGTCTGGGCACCAGTGGGGGACCGCCAGCTGTGCGTGGCCCCAAGAACGCCTTCGCCGTTCAGTCAGTCGATCAGTCATGTATTTGTTCAGCCACCAGCTGGTTACTGTGCGCTTTCTGGAAATTTAAAGCGCGGTCAGGGCAGCGGGAGTGGAGAGTGGGGAGCGTGCTGGGTTGCGAGGGGTGAGCGTGGGCATCGCTGGAGGAGAGATGTGGCTCTCCCGCGTGGGCCCCTCAGAATCCTCGCTAGAGGCGCCGTTCCTACCGGGCGTGTCTTCAGAGCCCCCCAGTGTCACCCCGGCGGGTCACTGAGGGCCCTGCAGCCTCAGCCCACGAGACGCCGCTCCACACTGAGAGCCCCCTTCCACCCACCTAAAGCAGGAGCACCGACCGGGCCGCGCAGGAGCCTCTGCCTTGTTCCCAGAGCAGCCAAGGGCGTCTCTGGGCAGACCTGGAGCCTCGGCCCTGGCGTGTCCTACCACGTGGGCTTTGGCAGGTTACCCAGTCTCTGCGCCCCGACTCCCCAGTGTGTAACACGCGGTGTCGGTCGTCAGCTACACTGCGGTAGCACAGCGCCCAGCGAGCACACCCTGAGCGCCCAGGCAGGGGAGGCGGTTCCCATCCTCCCGGTCTACCAAGGATGTGGCCTTTGTCTCCGGTTTCCAAATGGCCATGGCAGCGCCGTCCAGGAGAAACCATACATGAGCCGCCTGTGCGATTGTTAATTTTCTAGCAGCTGCACCAGAAAGAGAAAAAAGAAACAGGTGAAACGAATTTTAAGAATGTATTTTTACTGAACCCAGTGTGTCATCTAGTCCAACACGTGATCGTTAACGAAGCAGCTGACGCTCTCGTGCACAGTCCACTGGCCACGTTTGTGAGCGCGCAGCCACGTGTGGCTTAGGGGCCCCACGTGGGCAGCCCGGGTCTCGGATCCAGAGCAGCATTCCGGGGGCCAGCGCAGAGTCCCCTGCCTTTGAATGGATGATGCTGAGCTAAGATTATGCTCTCTAGCGCTCTAAGCTCACTTTTGAGATCCTTGAATAACGTATAATCAGGTAATAGAGCAGCTGGTTGAAAAAATTAATACAAAATAGTGCCACTTAAAAAACGCTTCATCAAGCAAACTGAGCCCCAAATGAGAGGCCTGTTTTTAAACTGCCCTGACGATCAGTACCTTGCATTTGCCTAATGGCTCGTCCCTCCCGCTACCCCTTGCTTCCTTCCAGGTGCTCCCGGGAACCTGGAGCTGCCCCCCTACCTTCTCATACCTGCCCGACTCCTGGGTGGGCCAGGGTTTAGGCATCTGCGCTGGGGGAGCCCCCCACCCAGGGGCTGAGAGTCAGATTTGCACACAGAAAAATGACACTCGTGAGACAGCTCACCACCGGAGTCCAGAGTGGGGCCGGGTGAATGCCAGCTCAGAAATCAGGGAAGGCTTCTCAGAAGAGGTGACCCCCGAGTCTTGGAGCCCAAGTGGGAAGCGGCTGAAGGGTGGGGCTGGCGTCCCAGTGGAAGGAGCAGCCTTGCCAAGGCCTGCCCCCGCAGAGGTGCGGCAGGTTTGAGACACCGCAAGGTGTTTGCAAGAAATCAGGATCATCGAAGCACCCTGGGACGCGCTGGGAAGGACCACCCTCCTCATACCCAGGAAGGCACGGCCTGCATCAGAAGGCCTGCAGAGACCCCCCAACTGGGTGTGCTTCAGTGCTGGGGGGCGCCCGGCGTGGAGGGGGTGCCTCAAGGCTATCCTTGCCGGCTGGAGAGAGAGCATCACGCAGGCCGAGGAACGGCAGGGGCGCGTCCGTCTCGGCCGCACATGGTGGCTTTCTGTCTTTCTCTGGGCCCATTCGATCCTTCTCGGCGCTCACTTCCCCCATCTCTAGAGTGAAAGCACCAGCCCAGATGCTACGTGGGGCACCTCGAGCTTGACGGAGCCACGGTTTCACGATCGAGGAGTCCGCTCCTCGACACCGGCTTCGCTTTCCTCGGAATTGAAGTGATTCTCAGGC